TGCTATGAAACTTTGCTGTGAAACGACGATTCGAACGTTTCCATAAGAGAAACCATTCGATTAGATATAAATGTACGTGATCTCTAATCTTACAAACTTGATTTGTCAATGTTTAAGTATACTTTTAGAACAAATAATTATATAAATAATACTTTCATTGCCGTCGATGTTTCTAATCAATTTCTCACTTTCATCCTTTCTTTCTTTATTTTTTCTCGTTTCTTTTGTTCCTCTGTTTCTTTTTTTTTCTTTTTTTCTTTTTTTTTTTTTTACATATTTCTTTTTTGAATCCGATATCCAAAGAAACGATAATAACGTCGAACGAAGGACCAACGATAAAGATCTATCAAAATTTCATTAGACCATTCATCACTAGGATTAATTTGATACTACATGCATTTCGTTAAGCATCTTTCTATATCCAAATTAATGCAATCTTTATATAAAGGTATAGCCGTTTGATACGGGATATTCAAATGAGCTCTCACCGCACTTTATGCCATTATGTTTTTAAGGCATATCTAATTTCGAATCGCAATTATAGTGTTTTATTACTTTAATAGGTATATCTAATATTATGCGTAAAAGCCCGGTGCTATGCTTCCGTATAGATACACGCGTTGTACGCACGCTTCGGGTAAAAATAAATCCGTTCGTCTACCTACACCTACACTTATATACATAGATACATACATACATACATACATACATACATACCTACATATATATATATATATATATATATATATATATATATATATATATATACATGTATATATTACTCTCGTTGTTCCTGTCCTCTACGTCGTATCTGCCAACGCCTAATTTAATGTAATAACATTTGATACTCGTTTAACGCTCGACGAGCGCTTTTAGAAATTTTATATCGAAATATTGGTCAGGGTGAACGTATCACATTGAACGATCAATCAGTTACCTAGCACAGCCATAGACTTTCAAAGTGTGGAAAATAAATAATTTATCTCGTTAATTCATTTCTTTCAATTGAGAAAACAAATCTATAACGCTCGACAATTTTTAATTTTCATAATTGATTACATATGTCAGATCTGAATTAGATCTTCGACAATGAGCATGACATTTTTCTCACTTAATAAGAAAATATCACTTTCTAATACTTTTAATGTTCCATCTAATTTATTACACATACATACATACACACACACACACACACACACATATATATATATCGGAGAGATTAAAAAATCAAATGCCATAAGCATTGAACGGAAACGACGATCCTGACCTTAGACTGCCAATGGCTCGTTTTCCTTCAAATGTTAATCGCTTCTACGACCTTTCCTTCGCACGATTTCTCCACTTCGATCTCAATGAGAACGAAAGAGAGAAAGAGATAGAGATAGAGATAGATAGAAATAGTAAGAAACTCGAGCTCTTCGTCCTTCCACAAGCCCTCGTGAATCATTCAAATTGGATTCCTTGAGAGTTATCTCGACATAGCATAGTCGCAAAGCTTGATATAGAGCCAAAATAATTGTCGAGAAAACGTCGACGCCCTTGAGTAATCAAACAAGTAATTTCATTTAATTCAAGACGTATATCAACGAAAGGAAACGACATATGGAACATATAGAAAATTATATGTCGCCTCAATGGAATTTATATTAATTTGATTAAAATTTAAATAAATAAATAAATAATTATATATATATAAAATAAGATAAAAATTTTTTGGAAATTATAATATATAAATAAAGAATGAAAAAGTAGAGAGAGAGAGAAAGAGAGAGAGAGAGAGAGAGAGAGAGAGAGGGAGAGAGAGTAAGATTTAGGAAGCAAGTCTGAAAATAGGAAACAAAGTTGGAGAGTAGAATTTCCCGTCGGCCTTACTCGTTCCATTCGCATAAACGCAATAATTCGAAAGGGGTTGCGAAAGACAGGGGGTAGCAGGAGAGCGTGGCATGCGCGTAAATGTAGTTATAAATAAATCTAGAAGCTCTTAATGTTTGCCAGTCTCGCGGAAGTAGAGAGAGAATAGACAGAGATAGAGAGAGAGAGAGAGAAAGAGAGAGAGAGAGAGAGAGAGAGAGAGAAAAGTGGTATGAGGTAAAGCTTGTGAGGAGAGAAGGAGGAAAGGAGGAAGCCAAAGAGACGGGGCAAAGAAAAGCTGCGGAAGGGTTGAAGAGGCTGCGGAGAAACCGTGGCCGAAGGGCTTCTCGAGGGGCTCTGAGGGTCGAACGCGTGCCGAGCTAGTCGTCTCCTTGCTACAAACCACCCCCTACTTTCTCCATCCCCGCAACGTTTCTAACTTCTCGAATCTTTGGTCCGATTGCTTCTTATCTCCCAAAAAAAAAAGGAAAGATAAAAATGTAAAAGTATATTTTCAATATTCGTTATTAATAAAAAGTTTATAATTAAACTAAGTAATTGATCAAATACTTCACAATTATATTGTTAAAATATGTATATATATATAATTTTAAAATTGCAAATTAATAAAATATTTAATACAAATTGTAGGATGGTTATTTAAACAAAAAAAAATAAGTAAATAAATGAAGTGTTTTAAAAAATAAAGGAATAAAAAAATTGACCCGAACGGATAGAAAAAAAAAAGGAAAAAAAGAAAAAGAAAGAGGAAAGAAAAAATAGAAAAAGAAAAGATGTAGAATTTTTTTCAAAGATCTCACGATGCGTTTCTCTATGGAGGAAACGCATGCACACACATAGCAAGTAAAATGCGTTTCGTTGAGCGAGCGCATTTACGAAGAAGGCAAGGAGAGCAACGTACTATTCTTTGATCATAGGGGCTATCCTCTTAATTTGTTTCTCCGGCAACGATCTGCTTTGGATAAGAAGGTAAGTTCCTTCTCTCTCTCTCTCTATCTATCTCTATCTCTATCTTTTTATATCTTTCTCTTTCTCTTTCTCTCTCTCTCTCTCTCTCTCTCTTTCTCTCTTTCTCTCTCTGTGTTACGGTGTATTCGCACGCCAAGCAAAGAACTCACGGCGTTCAGCTTCGCACGCTCTTGGAAACCGTATTACGATAATTCGCTAACCTTCCACCTTCTTCTTCTTCCCCACTCCCTTGTCTACTTAGTTTTTCAACTTGGTTCTTATTCAAAGCAAGATAAATTAATTATTCGAGAACAAGTTCGAATCACTTTGGTCTCTTTCACGTCTTACTTCGAAAGAATACCGTATCTTTTTTCACTCCAACTTGATTTTTCATGACTTTGCTCTTTTTTCTTCGTATCTTCTTTCTGCTCGAGAAGAAGGCGAACAAAAAAAAACCACTCGATTAAGCTATCCTATGCGTAAAATAATAATATATGTACTATTATTTGATCTCGGCTAAATGTCTTCTCTTTTTTTGTCTGTTTTTTTCTCTTTTTCTTTTCGTTTTTTTTTTTTTTACTTTTTCATCAAACGCAAGATAATAACATTCAAAACGAAACAATTTTGTTTCATTCCTGTTGATTGTTCACGTAGAAATGTATCGTTAGGATTATTTAATTAGAACGGATCTAAAAAGACGATGAATTTTGAAATTGATTGAGAAGGAAGATAAAAAAGAAAAAAAAGAAAGAAAAAGAGAGAGAGAGAGAGAGAGAGAGAGAGAGAGAGAGGAGAAAAAAAATGAACTCTCAATTTCTCACTAATTTCTCGGCTATTTGTCGCTATAAGTTTTCGCTCGAAGAGTCCTATCTCCTCTCTTAGACGGTAGGAATATCTAAGGAACAACGGGAAAAGGGCAAACCCCGTGTGAAATGAGTCGCGAAATTGTTCCAAAGGAATTTATCAATTTTCTTTGAGGGATTCTAATTGTACTAATTTGTCGATCCCAAGAGTAAAGGGAAAGGCACATTGGAATTCTATCGTTTAATCTTCAAGACCGTCTATCTTCTCTATCTCTCTCTCTCTCTCTTTCTCTCACACACTCTCTCTTTTCCCTTCTTTCTCTATCTTTCTTTATATTCTTATTTTATGTTAACCCTCGAAGTATCAAAAAAGAAAATAATTACGATATTCCTTTCTATGATTTTGTCTAATTAATTTACATTTTCTATTTCTATCATCATTTCTCTCTCTCTCTTTTTTTCTCAATCTTTCACACGCATATACTAATTTCAATCATAACTAAAATATTAAAAGAATTCTAAAAGTAAATTCGAAAGGATGACGATCGATGATGACTGAAAAGAAAAAAAATTGATAAAGAGAGAAAAAGAAAGAGAAAGAGAGATAGAGAGATAGAGAAGAGAGAAAAAGATACTAGACTCGAGAAAGAAAGAATCGAGAGAGAGAGAGAGAGAGAGAGAGAGAGAGAGAGAGAGAGAAAGAAAGAGAGCTCCGAGCTCGATATCAAAGCAGGGCAAACAATACAGTGAGATGCTGATGCGATTGTATTATGGCTAGTGGACCGATGATCCATTGTCTCGTCACGTTCTACCCACTCGCTTCTTTTATCTCGATCCCCAGAATATACTCGTATCTCGTCGTATCGAGTGAGCATCCATCGAAAGTAGCACGCTTCTGACGCCTTAGGAGGGGTTCTTCGTAATACGAAATCTGCTGGTAGGAGGAGGACGCGAGTAGAGCATTTTCGCACGCACCTACGTATTGTACTTAATATGATGCACCTATAGTATTAAACTATAAGAGAAAGAGAGAGAAGAAGAATGATATTCGATCGTTTCCTTCTCATCTCTCATAGAGCATGAAATCGTGTCCTTATCGATAGGAATATATTCATTCATCTATGTTAGATGAATGATACTCGAGATCGATTAGTTTGTTTCTTTTTAATTTATATGTCTTATATATCTTCAACTCTTTGTGTTTTACGAATGAAATTAAAAGAAAAAGGAAAAAAAAAAGAAGAAAAAAAAGAAATGCCAAATATTTAATTATCGGATAAAATTGTGTGTTTCAAATGAATAAATATATGAATTCATGATGATAAAACATACCCTTGTAAGTATCTTGTGTTAACATTCAGGAGGAACAATAACTACCTTAAAGGAACGTACCTGTAACAGAAAAATACAAAAAAAAATACAATCATTTAAGATAATATTACAATTTTCGAAAGTACATGGGTTAATATTATAGGATATATTTTAACATTGTGTAAACGATTTAACTATGACGATATTATTATAATCATGGGTTATACATATATATATATACGTACATATATATATATATATATACATAGCCGTGTCGGATAGCACGATTACGAGGCTGAAATAAATGAAACCGGCGTGAAAACGAAATTGGATATACACGATGGCGGCGGTCGCGGTGGTGGTCTCGAACGTAGTCACCGACGAAATTTATTTGCTTTTCATTCAAATCGCCTCATCTCGCATTTATGTATTCCGTGATATTGCACTTTTTCAAACTCGCCTCCTTTCATCGTAGTACGCCCGTAGGATATTAAGAGTCCTGACACAGCTCTGTATTAGTCGTATAAATTTACTTCGAACGACGTTAGATTCCTTCCCTCTCTCTCTCTCTCTCTCTCTCTCTCTCTTTTTCTTTCTTTTTTCTCTATCTTCCTTTCGAAGAAATTCTACTTCAAACTATCCCCTATCTAATTCGAATCGATTTGCGAATGCAACAGAAAACTCGTTAGATTTAATCGATCACGTATACGATCGAGAAACATGCAAATAATCATAGTACCTATGTACGGAAAATGAATTTAATTAATTCATGAGATAATATAAAATATTTCCTTACGAATTATTTCCATAAAAATTCAAACGCATTGAAAATTAATACATATTAAAATTGTAGAGATAAAATTCTTGAGAAACGTTTAAATACATATTTGAAAAAAATCCGATACGAAAGTCATGTACGCGTGAAGATAGATAAGTTCAACGAGTAAAACTGTACATAATTCAGAAAGATTGCTCATAAATTTTACTCGCTGTAGGATTTGTTAAGTCGATTAAATTCGTTTGTAAAGAATAGAGATGTACCAATTATGCTTTGAAAGTTATTGCTATTCCCATCTTTCTCTCTCTCTCTCTCTCTCTTTCGAATACTAGTATTTTAAAGATAACGAAAAATCATTTGTAAATCTTATATTTATTTCATTTACATATACATATATAATTTGTAATAATATAAGAAAGAGAGAGAGAGAGAGAGAGAGAGAGAGAAAGAGAGAACATATTTCATACATACTTGATGAAAAATAAACGATTAGAAAAAGTCGAAAGGATTTTTTAAAAGTATGTATATAGGTAAATGCGTAAGTTGAAATTAATAATAAGCAAACAAAACAAAAAAAAAAAAAAAACAAGAAAAAAGAACAAAAAAAAAAAAGAAAGAAAAAGAGCCGAGTGTTATATCTCGTATAATTGACTGGAAGTATTTTTAATCGAGCATCGAAAAAATGTACGGCGTGCCAACGTACGATGGGAAAGCAGCGACGAGAGGAAAAAAAAATATACCTATATAAAAACGAGGGAGGAGAAGAGAAAGAAACGGAGATAGAGAGAAAGTGAGTGAAATAGGGAGAGAGACAGAGAGAGAGAGAGAGAGAGAGAGAGAGAGAGAGGGGAGAGAGAGAGAAAAAGTCTTCAACCTCCGATTTTCATTGTAAGCGTTGCTCGCGTTTTTAATCGACTCATCCCCCATTGGAACAGAAATTCCTACGGTTAATTACACAGATTTCCAATGCACCATCGCAACCCCGTGGAATTTTTACGATTGCCGCCTTGACCGCTATTTCTCTCTCTCTCTCTCGCTCTCTCTCCCTCTTTCTCTTTTTCTCTCTACGTTACTTCCTCCTCTTCCTCTTCCTCCTTCTCCTCATCCTACTACTACTACTATTACTACTACGATTACTACTACAACTACTATTCATTCGCATCGAACTCGAGCAGGGAGGATTTGTACGACTGAAATATTCGAGGGATTTCATTTTATAAACGATCAACCTGTCCCTGCCACGTGCTACCAACCCCTTTTAACGCCGAGCCAATTGTATTCGCTTTTTGTCTCTTCTTCGATTCTCGCTACCGTGACGAAAACAAAATCATTTGCCATACTGAAATACCTAAAGAGAAAGAGAAAGAGAGAGAGAAATTATATGAAATATTATTAACAAAGTATCGTGCCATCATTATTGATTGCGTCAATTAAACAAAGACGAACGAATCAATTAAAATTTTCTATTATAAATAATTAATATATATATATATGTATGTATGTAACCTATCGATGAAAAAGTACCTAAAGACGATGTATAAAAATCGTATAGACAAATTCTGGACATGGATACGCTTTGGGGTAAGAAAAGAAAAACTCAAGGTGGCGATAAATCGGTGTGACCGTATAAAAAGCCTGGATGGGAGAAGAAAATCTCGCTTCCATAAATAATTCAAGTCCCGTCTCTTCTCGGACGAAATACAGCTACAGCGGCTACCTTCTCCTCCTCCTCCTCCTCCTCCTCCTCCTCCTCCTCCTCCTCCTCCTTTTCCTCCTCATCCTCTTCTCTTTTCTATCTATCCTTCTTTTGCTAAGGTTGCCCGGTCAAAGGGGAAGAACCTAAGAACCTAATCTTTTCGCGAAAGGGTTTTCTGGGAGCACCTGAGAACCACCAAGGAAAAGTCTTCCGACACCCCCTAAATACTTAATTCCATTCTCTCCTCTAATTGGACAGTTTTATTAAGGGATGCATATTTCAGATGGCATTTTTATTGTGTCCATTGGGAACGACACGGTGAACGAATAATAAGAAGGAGAATCTAAAGGTAAAGAGAGAGAGAGAGAGAGAGAGAGAGAGAGAGATAAAAAATAAGAGAGTTTAGACAGGGGTTCTGAAAAAAAATTAGATTTCAACCCTTCGGAAAATATTAGCACGCTGGAAAAGAAAAGAGAGATAGAGAGAGAGAGACAGAAATGGAGACGGTGACTATGAGTTAAACGAGGAGAGACGACAAGAAGAGACCACAAAGTAGAAAGAAAGAGAGAGAAAGTCGATGAGAACGTACAACCCTTTGCCCTGGGCCACAAGCCACGGACTACGCCATGGTATTGTCTCGAGGATTAAAGTACGAAAATGTAATTTCTCCGGGACCAAAAATGCTTTCGTACTTTATCAAGAGCGATCTCCCTGTAAATATATACATATATACATATATATATTTTTTTTTCCGTTTTTTTTTCTGTTTTCTTTTCAATGTCTCTCCTTCCCTCTATCTCTTTTTCTCTCAACGAGGCCAACAGTCTCGTGCAAAGTACTAACTAAGTGGTATCTTGATCTTTGTACGCAAGGTGTGCTTACAAATCGCAAAAGGCGTTACGAATGGAAAGAAGATATGTATATATGAGAGACTACATTTCATATATATGTATAAATATATATGTATATATTTCATATATATATATATGAACGCTAACTATATTGAAAAAACATAATTACTTATATTTTCTATAAGAAATTTATTAATACCTTAGATAGATATAAGAGATAGGAGAACATATAAATAACAAGTTCAGAAAACATTGAAAATTAATTAAATAATAATAAAAAGGAAAAAAGGAAAGAAAAGGAATGAGAGAGAAAGAGAGAAGAGAGAGAGAGAGAGAGAGAACTAACGTAGCCGAGGAGCAGCTCGTATAAATTTTAATAAGTCTCATTCGACGACCCTTTGAGGCCACCGAAATGAACGAATTAAAAGTTTCTCTCGCTTTAGTGGTCTCGCGGTTGACATTTCGGCTCGCCCGATGATCTCACAGAATTGCGGAACTTTCGTCGTTTCGAAAAACTGTGCGCGAAATTTACCGACAAATTCCATGCTATCTCCTTGAATAACTCATGGGTCCGACTGTTGGCGAAGCTTACTGGCACAAACGACAAGGCTTTTTTTCTTTTTTTCTTCTTTTTTTTTTTTTCTTTTTTCTCTTCCTTGTAAATTGCTAAACTGAGATTAAGGGATCACTTAAGTCTTCCACAATGATGAGCCCTGCTATAATTAACTTGAAATTAAGTTGAATACTTGAGGAAAATGTGAGAAGGGATGATATTATTGAAAAACAATAAAAAAAAAAAGCAAAATAAAAAGAAATAAAAAAAAAACAAAAACAATGATTGATACCACATAATTATTAATTTACTCATATCTTTGTTTACTAATGAATTTAGTAGATTAATTCGATCTAATCGATCATCAATTACTAACAACAATATTGCACGAAACGTAATATATATATATATATATACATCCATATTCATATAAAATGGTTCTAATCCAAGTGATAACGAAGGAACAAACGTTCGAAGGAACCCTTCGCGAACAGATCTCAGTTTTCACTGAGGAGTGCATGATCGGAGATCTTGCCCTTCGCGAATACGAGGAAGCACCCAGTAAGATTTCAATTAAAACAACCCCCCGGAACGATGGGGGGATTAGCAGTACGAATCCGTTTCATACCCCTCGCTTGGATCTCGGTTATGACACGGCATAAATATCAATGTAAATTGCTTTCGCACGAGCTACTGTTAACTCCTCTCTGTCTCTCTCTTTCTCTCTCTCTCCTCTCTTTCTCTTTGCCATCCAAAGATGGAAGAAAAGCCACCAAGACACTACGACGGACTCATTTATGAACGCAATCATCTTACGATTTTGCATTTATGAACTTTAAATTGCTACCGTCACGCAAATTCCTTAATATTTCCATGTAATGGTATCTTGAAAAATGATAATCAGTTGTTTAACCATTTTCCACCTAATGCCCTCATATCCTTTCGATCACTTTGAAAATATATTTATATACGTACTACGTGAAATATTTTTAATAATTCACATTCTAAAAGGGATCGTCCGATTAAAATTTCTGATTATTCTCACATGGTTTACTACACAATTAAGTGTTTACTAAGTGGATCAATAAAATAAATAGATATAGACATCTATATATTCGAAATGATAATAATAATAATAATAATAATAATAATAATAATAATAATAATAATAATAATAATAATAATAATAATAATAAAGAATAT